AAAACTGTATAGTAAATGAAAATCTATAAGGAATCTGTTGCTTCTATCTTTGAATATCATTTATCATAGAAGTGTAATAATGACTCACCATTAAGTAATGTAATATAGTGAGTTATCCTTTAGAGTATATAATAGTGGTGCAACATCCTTTAGGATTAGATACTTATTTACCTCGGGATATTACTTCATCTTTCTTTTAGTATTTTAGTGCGGTTGTAGTGTCTTTCTAGTATGTTCCCAATAGTGTGAGTAATAGTGGATCCCCATGACCTTCCCAGTCATGCATAGTGTAGTAGAGTAAAAGCATCCCTGGGCCTGAGCGGCTCGGACTGAAGTTATCAGTCGGGATGTAATAGCGTCTGCCCCGTATAGATCTATACATATAGTGTCGTCTCCCTATCGGAAAACTTCGGCATAGTGTATAGCGTATAGAGTATCCCGTAGTGGATTAGTGAATTATCTCATGATTAGTGCATTTTTATTGTATTATAGTGTAGTAATCTTTCGTATAACATGTATTGTATTCTCTTATTAGTGTATTGCTTCATAACATAGAGAATTATAGTAGTGTAGAATAATAGTGGAAACAAGGATAGAGTCCTTAACTATACCTATTATAGTTAATTTAGTGCATGTAGTTCTAATCAAGTAATGATTCAGGTAATTAATGAATTAAGAAGTACTCATAATCTGTACTAATATATGAGATATATAATTAAGAAATCAATGACAGTCGGATGGATAACCACTACCCTAAGCCCACAATCAAACAAGAAACAGGAAATAAGGCGAGCTATCGGTCCTAAGTCCTTCAAGTCTTACTTATATAAATATATTAGTATGATTACATTCTTATAAAGAGTTTTGTTAAACAAAAGTATTATACGAAAGGAACATTTAAAACTTGTTTGTTAATCCAAGATAGTTTTGAAAACAATTGATTTATTTATAAATCATAGTGATAAATCACATGTGATTTGAACTACAGGTTGTGAATCACATGTGATTAATCCTGTAATCTGAAAAATAGTCTTGTATAACTTTTCATAAACATGTATATTCAACTTGTATCTCCCCCCCCCCCCTAAAACATATAAAACATTTGAAAGGTTCAATTAAGGGGTATGAACTCACCTGAAATTGCGGAAATCGGGTAAATCGGGTAAAAGTGTCGATTGAGCGTTTGGTACCCAATAACCACTTGAGCACCTCTTAGGACCCTAATGTCATATGAAATATGTATTTTACAAGAAGTTAATCATCTCAAACTTTTCATTGTAGTATTTGGACATTCTAGCGTCGTTTTCAGGGTTTTAAGGCCTAGAAGGGTTCCCGGGAGTGGTACAAGTCATGAATGATTTACGGGAGGGTTTAAGAGTTCACTCTTTTGGAGTTTATGGCCCAAAAGCCATCCTTTGGGAGTTTACGGCCGTAAACCCCTTAGGCTTGGCCGTAAACTCTTGTGGCTCTCCAAAGTGCATGTTTAAGGTCTTGTTTCACTTCCTTGATTTAGTGGTATGTGTCTTGGGCCATTTTAAGGGATTATACATCATAATTTGTGATATTTTTGGGGAGTTTACGGCCCAAGAACATCCTTGGCCGTAAACTCTTCATTTTGTGTCCAAATGTGAAGTTTATTTGTACAACACACTTCCAAAGGCCTTAGCTAAAATCCTTACATGCTCTAGGGTAGTTTAGGGACTTGTTTGACACAAATTTTTGGGTGTTTACGGCCCAAGCTTAAGCTAGGCCGTAAACTCCTCATTTTGTCCTCAAATGGAGTTTTTGATGCATTTAAGTGTTCCTTAGAGTCAAGTCCAATTTACCAAACATCTTAGAAGAGTTTTAGGGACTTTAAACAAGTGTTTTTGGGGTGTTTGAGGTGTTTACGCCTAAGCATGTGCTTGGGCCGTAAAACTCCTTTTTACATGTCTAATCCATGTGTTTTAGTGTCCAAACCCTTCTAGATACATGCCTTAATTAGTATACTAGCTTAAAATGAGGCAAAACTTGATCTTTGGCAAGATTTTGGGGGTTTACGGCCTAAGGGGCTTCTTAGGCCGTAAACTCCTTTATGGTCCTTGATTTCTATGATTTTGGACTCTAAATGCTGTAAAGTATGTTTAGATTAAGTTAGGGGATGAATCCTTACGTTTGGAAGTCGGAAATTCGCGGATTTGGAGTCGATTTCGGGTCTAGAGAGAGAAAGTAGTGAGAGAGAGGTGTAATGGTGGTAAAAGAGTCCAATTGTAGTGTTCAAGTGTTTTTATATGTCTCGGGTATTGTACCCGATACACGGCTACCCGATGCTAAAGTTTAACGGGGTTAAAACTTTTTACCCGGGTGAAGTGGTTGAAATAGTGATACCACTCTATTAGGTTAAACTAGGTTAACACGTATGAGTTATATTGCTTACAATGATCTTAGGACATGTATGTAATTAGATATTCGGATATTGATGATTCCAAATATAACATAAAATAACGTATGTTAACGCACTCCGTTAGTGAAAATGGGATTTGTAACGGGAATAGATTTGGGGTTGTCACACATATCTTATTCAATCAATTATGTTATTAGTTTTCTTATACAGTTGATACCCTTTGGGTAATTATTTATTGACATACACTTAAAGCAAGATTTGTAAGGTATTTGGCAAGATCAAAGAGTTCAAAGAGAAAAATAATCTTAGGAATGAATTAAGTACGTTGTCTTGGGATATCTGTTACCTTTCAATGTATGTATAAAATCATATTATATGTTCAAAATTTAATTATATTTAGTACCTACATTTTGATTGATTAAACTAATAGGTATAGATATAAGTAGAGGTGGAAAAATTGACACGACACGAAATCGATACGAACTCAACACGAAATAAACGAGTTTAGGTAAGAAATTTCATCTCGTTCAAATAAACAGGTTGACTCAACACTACACAAAAACTAAACGGGTAAGGTTAGGGTTGCGAATTTCAACTCGAAAATTATTCGTTTATTTATATGCAAGTTTTTTGAATTCTTTGAATAAACTAGAAAGATACAAAACGAAAAAAAAAAATAAGTAAAAGAAAACATTTGAATTAAGTTGTTTTGTAATGTTGAAATGACTTAGCCGTCTAGATCAAGACTTCACTTTCATTTTTTCAATTCTCTCCCAAACTATACAGTCCCTTTGACCACTCTCTCATCCTCATGATCTTGTCTTCCACCTCCCGAAATCCTACTCGTTCAATTTGGTCATCTAAACTTGCTATGACTTCATTTATTCTGCCTCCAAACTATTAGTTTTTTTCTTTTCGTCTACTAAACTCTTACTCTTTCAAAATGCTCAATCTTTTAACCTCAAATGACATAACATATTTCAAGGTATACCCCTAACATAAAATTCGACATGAACTCGGCACGAAAATAAACGGATTGACATGACACGACACATTAATTAAAGGGGTCGGGTTAGAGTCAAACACTTTTAATAAGATATAGTTCGGAAATACCTATATCCTTCCACAAGTATACCGAACTAGCATATTGCAAGGTCACCTGCCCCATAGGTCTCGAAGTTGCCCACCTATATACCAAACTAGCTCGAAGACTCGAAAGGAAAAGGAATACCAATGAGAAAGTACAAAGTGACGTCAAAACAGTAGCAATAGTACATCGAAACCATGAGAATACAGTATGTATGAGGATGTATGGCTGATGGATCCTGGCACAGCCATATGATAGCTGGTAACGATATACAAAGTACAACTACTCGTACCTTCGAGCATAATGCCATAAATGCCATAAGATGGCATGACAGGGTCGATACGGGAAGAACTCGTTACCTCTTCCTCCTTCGTTATAAATAGATAATCTGACTCGTCAAAGAGGTACGCACATAGGATTCATACTTATCTCACTTGTTTAACTCTCCACTACTATAATCAATCGATGATATAGCCTTTCGCTAACTTAACCATCGGAGTGTTGTCCGGGATCTCATCCCGGCCGACTAGCTTATGGTTTGTTTGTATTCTTCAGGTCAATCTATTTTCTCGAGTAAAACTAATCCAAGGGTGAAAGATGGAAGACGGGCCCGATGGTACATCAACTTTCAACCTGTTTAGTGTTTCGACATAATACGAACCTAACACAACACGGCACGATTGTCACCTCAAGATATGAGATTCGTTCCCTTTTTGCCTAAAGATGTTCCTAGAAAGAAGCAACTGAACTTCATTGCCTAGGATCTAGGCATTGAGGAAGTTTAAAAAGTTGCTTTGGTCAAAAGTGTCTTTAAATTATTAACGTGACGCTAGTATGTTTGCAAACATCATAATATTTTATTTTTTTGGAAATGGAACTTTCCTAACAAGGGTTTCGGGCAAGCTTTCACGTACCGACTAGTCTCTCGTTGCAAACATGACGCTATGCCTTTAACTGTAATTATAATTTGTATAAAATGAAATACCTTTAACTGTTACATTAAATTTAGATTGATTGCTCAACCACACATCGTTATTGTAAATATATGTGGAGCCCAATATTATCTATACAAAAGAGCCATTGTGGAGAGAATGAAGACTCCAACAAAAATAGTAACTTATAAAACCGTGTCGCACCGATGTGAGATACATTAACACTCCCCTCAGAGTCGGAGGCTCGATGAGGACAGTCAGGGATGTGCTAAGCCACGAGGTGCGGGATGCCGATTCTGATACCATATAAATATATGTGGAGCCCAAGATTGCCTCTCCAAAAGAGCCTTTGTGGAGAGAAGGGAGACTCCAACATATAGTCATTTATAAGACCGTATCACACTGATGTCGGATACATTAACACTCCAACATATATAGCCACTTAAAAGATCGTGTTGCACCGATGTGGGATACACTAACAGTGATGACATCGATAAATACAAAGTTATATAGACTCAAATCGCTTTACAGGTGATGATGCAGTGCCTTCCCCAACATGGAAGAAAAATAAAAGCATATAACCATCATCATCAAGACCTTAATTATCATGCTCGAGTATATCACAATTTCTACACTTAGGTTCGGGATTATCAGCATTCTCTAGTCTATCACGACAAGCACCTATGGATCCGATCCAGACTTTAGAGGGAAGTTCTTTGCCGATTAGATAAATTGGAGTGATTCTTCGCCAATTGGATAAACGGGGTTGCCATGTTCGTTTATCTCTTTGTGCCACCGTATACAACAAGAGGTAAATATTGTATACTTGGGATGATCTTATAGTATAGATCTCGACACTATAAGAATACAATGTACCAATTTGTGAGATCCAATTTTTTGCTAATAGTAGCATCGAGACATGGTTCGTCCCAAGTACAATTTATCTAAGTGACTTGTATTGTATTTTTATTAACATTTACTTAAACAACTCATTTATATTGTATTGATTTCATGGTGCTTAAGGGAGTTAAATAAGCCCTTGTAGATGACCACCATGAACAATGCCAACCACTCATCGAGAGGAATCTCACGACACGTTCCATGCTTGCGGATCGTGCTAGGCGGATCTTAGTATCATCCATCGTTCTCAAACCTTCTTGTTTTTTGGAGCATCCGTGGAGTGCTAGAGAATTTGTTTGGCGACATGGTAATATTTGATTACTTTGTAAACCTTTAACGTACCATACTCTTTTATTATTTTATCTAAATCTTTTTGATGGATGTAAACCCGAAAACTGGATAATGGTTGATCATGCCAACACACTAATTTGGGTATTTACTAACTTGAACAAGTACATATTCTTATCAATGTCCCAAATGAACATCACTTATTCGGTGAGGTGCATCTTGATTACAAGAGTTGTATTGTGTTTAATTATTTCAATAGATTGAAGCCAAATTTTAACACTTTTGAACATGGTATCATCTGACTGGTAGCTAGTATATATGCACTCTGATAATGAAACATGAGTATAAAATATCAATCAATTTCCATAAAACATCACAATTTCTACATGTACATATATAAATATCAACATACTACACGTATACTGCACAAAATCAATAAAATCCCCAAAATAATTTCAAGTTTCCGAAGTAATTCTTAGAGCCTTGGTCTTAAATCGATACCTGGGAGCCCTAGGAATAACCTGACTGGGTCCAAATCCAAACTGCCCCGTTCCAGTCATCATCGGCGGGCCATCATCGTAAAGATACCCGACGAGACGACCGCAACTATTGCAAAGAAGTTTAGTTCGTTTTCTCTGAATCCCCCAGTAATTAATTGTCTCGAAAAAGGGTCTGATCTTATCTTCTTTGACGAATCTGAATTTGGAGGAGTCTATGGCTGCGAAAGAGAGAGTGCCTTTGTTGCCAGCCTCAAAGTAGAAGTCGGGAGGGAAGAGATTAGCGGAATGAAGGCTGAGATTGGTGCCGCATTCGTTGCAGGTGTAGATCGACGCCATTGATGAAATTGAAGGTGGGAGAATGATTGGCGAGTTGATGGTATTTTGAAGGGGGTTGGGAAGAATGTGTCGTGTTTGACTTTTGATTTGGAACGCGGAGTTGGATCCAAATTTTTATTTCTAGAATGTTAATATTTTCAAAAGAATGAACATTGTAACTAGAATGTTGATATTTTATACTTTTCAAAAGAATAAAAATTGTAAATATCTAGAATGTTAATTATTTATTAATAATGTCATTAAGTGTAAGACCCGTATGTTACATGAGTTTATTAAAAATAAAAATTTAATATCAATATATAAATATGAAACATTTTATAAAATAATACTTTACATAACAGAATGTAATCTTTTCGAACATTTGGAAAACAAATTAAATCGTTTGGAGTATTTATAAGTATTTATTATCAAATTAATAGGATAATTTTATTTCCATATAGAACTCATTACAATATTATGGTATTTTATTTTAAGAAAATGGATATCTTTAAAAAATAACAAGTGGAAAATAAAAATTCTAAAACTCTCACAAAATGACAAGTGTCAAAATGAAGGAGAAGTTGACATGTGGAAAAAAAAACTTAATTTATTAGAAAGGATATCTAAAAAACAATTTGGTACAACCTTGAGTTTTGACGAAAATTCAGTTTCAACACATTTGGTACGACTTTACAGATCCATTTTATAGACCGTACAAACCAAACTAATGGAAGGGCTTACCGTTGGGTGTTATAAAGCCTTATAATTCATATTACAGCTCTTATATAATTCTGTACGAACTTACAAAGTCGTTATGTAGACTATACAAGGGCTCCAAGTGAAAAGGCTTATGGGTAAAGCTTACATATGAGAAATGTAATACTTGTTTTGGTCGACTCTTAGGCGATAAGGGTACTATATAGATGAAATAGGGTTCTAACTGATGTTATCTTCAATAATTTGAGGGGTAATTATGTTGGTTCCTCAGGCATACCATACAAGCATATGTCCCCAAAATATAACAATGTACTTTGAGTTTTCATTTGCATGATATAATATATTTATATATTACTTGCAATACTATACGTCTATATTACCTAGATTTCCATATGTATTACTTTATGCATTTATTCCATGTAAATGTTTTAAAGAAAAGATGTTTGAAGTGGGGATGTATTTCATATGTTTTCAAGACATTTCAAGTTTCTAAAATCATGATCATGCACGTGTATCCATATAGTAGGTGGGATTGAGACTAGTATGGTCTAGACACTTATTAGGCGTGTCAAACCCAACAAATGATAGGGGTACGATATACTCCAAAAGAATCTCACTATATTGCACTAAAAGGTAGCACAAGGCAAGTAGGGTCGATCCATAGAGACACAAGATAATTAGTCTATACCTCTTTGCGTAAGGTACTATGGTCACCAACATTAAAAATGAGGGTTTTAGAGTGCAATGACTAAACAGACAAATTAAAAACACACGTAGTAAGCTAAATGAGTGAATTAAATTCATATTTTGTAAGGACTCCAACTTCATGTATGACAACTTAGCAATGTGACTCAAATATGACACAATATTCATTCCATTCTATCTAAGTTGGTACTTGAAAGTGTTAATAAGCTCTAACACTTTCCATTCACCACATTAATTAACCAAAACAAGCTCTTTGATTAACTCTAACCTTACTAACCTAATCTAAAAAAGCTCTTAAAATTAGATTAAAAGATTGCATGAAGCTTTATGTGAATGTTCCCAAAAACACCTAATACTCCTCATAAGCTCGATAGTGTAAAAGTGTATGAATAAGATTTACACTAAATTCAATAGAGATCAATTTAATGCTTGTTACTTGTTCAATTTCACAAAACAATTACGGATTTTGTAAAAGAGATAACTTGAATGACCTAACCTTAATTCGAATGGCCAATAAGAACCACAATTAGAATCAAACATTCGATTGTAGTAAAATCAAATTCATTAGATAGAAATTGAAAACAAACATTATGTCATATGATTGAAGTCACTACCAAGAAGTCAAAACATGAAATTGGAGAAACTAGGGTTCTAGCCACACATGGCTAAAACAAGATCACAAGTTTAAAAGATGGAAATGTATGCAATTACAACTTACAAATACTAGAAATAATGTTTCCAAATTATTGCTAATCAAATCCTTGCAAAAACCTTTGAAATCCCTTCACGAAATGTGCTCTGATATCCTCTGTCTGTGTAAAAATGACCCTTAACCCGTAATATGAAAGATAGGAAAAACTGCCAAAAGTTGGTTTCTGGGTCAAACACGGCCCTTGTTGGACATAGAGTAAAACTGACACGGCCCGTGTTCAGCATGGTCAACAGCTCCTTTTTTTTTGTCAACACGGCCCGTGTTGATTTTGCAGTGTAAATCCAACACGGCCCGTGTACCTCTCTAACTCCAATTCCAAACTTGATTTTTCCAACCTTTTCGTTCTTCGCCCGATCATCTGGAAATCCTCACCAATGCTTCCCGGAACCTCCCAAAGCGGGTTCCAACCTCTGGTTTACCTGAAAAAGACATGAAAATGTGCAAATAAGGATGTTCTAGAGACTAGCATGAAATATGATGAAATGAATGACAATTACGCTAAATAGATGCATGAAATGAGACTAAAATGTGTGCAAAAAGGTGCACGAATTGCACCTAACAACACTTGACAACTTAGATATCTACACTTTGAAGTTTTGACGTACAAAAATTATAAATGGCATTCTAAAATTCCTTTATACACGTGTTAGTCTTTACAAACCCTCATGCGGTTCATTTGTGTTGGTTCACATGTAACCTGGTTGGTTGAAGTGTTGAATGAGGCCTTTATACATCTAACATGGCATTATATTATTTCATGTGTATTCTACATTTAAACATCATCCTTTCATAGTTTACTAAGAAATGAGTGACTCTGACTTGTGAGTTTTAGACAACATGAGGTTTTGGAAACTTTGTTTCATAACATATATTAATAAAATTATACCAAACTTTTGAATTATTTCCCCCTAATTTTTAGTTTTGAAGGTTATACGAAATGAATGTATCACATAGAAGAAGTCATTTTGTAATGCCCAAGTCGCTAGGTATGAAATTAATCTGTTATTTAATTTAATTCAATTTTAAAAGTGGTGAAGGATTTGTCAGTACATTGGGCGTACATTAAGTATGCACGACGTACTCCTTGCATGTACGGCATTGTGGTGATCCCAGCGTACACTGGGCGTACTCAAGCCAAGGCAAACCCTAATTTTAAGGGTTTACACCATGTTTAAGGTCCTCAAGTTCTTCAAGTATATCACCCTTTTAGCCTCCATTGCCTTTTAATGCTAATCTCGAAACCCTAGCCATCTTGAGTGCATTTTGAGCTTACATAGAGTGTTTGGGTGCTCTTTTGTGGTTTTGAAGAACAAGGAAGTTTGAGGAGAAGCAAAGAAGAAGAAGGAGCTTGTAGATCCAGAGCTTGTGCATCATTTGTAGCTATTGAAGGTATAAAGTCTGAAACTTGTTCATTCTAAGCTTAGATCTAGGTTTAGGGAAGATTTTAGCATCTTTTGGTCCCATAACTTGGTCTTTTGGAGTATGGGCTACTCTAGGCCATTTGAGTCATGGGCGGAGCTTTAACATTTGGTTTGGGTGGGCCAAAAATATAATATGTATAAAAGTCGGTGAACAGGGGGCATAGGCAAATTTTTATATTTTTGAGCCTAATATGTATAAAATTAAAGTATAGGTACTACATCTAACTAAAAAATCAGGAGGAACACAGCCCCCCACCCACCCCTCGCGCTAATAAAGCTTCTTGATTTGAGCTTTCCTTTTGGACTCTTGGGAGTGCATGAAGTCATAAAAATCATATCTTGAAGGTTAAGACTCAACCATGTATGAGTTGGTGACCACCTAAGTGAGTTAGAGGGATTCATTGATATTTTGAACCCTAATAAGGCATGCAAGAGCATAAAGCTTGCAACTTATGGCTTAAGACACTTTTCTGAGCTTGGATCTAAGTTTTGAACGTTAGAGCTTAATGGATTAAGAGCGGAAGCGTTTCTAGGTTGACTGACCAGTATGTCGGGCGCACTCTAGAGTACGATGCGCGTACTTGACCAGTGCCCCGATTCCGAAGCATAAACATATGTTGGGCATACGAGCCATGTACGTCGCGCGTACGCAGTCTATGGACTTAGGAGATTTTTGGGCTCGAGTCTTGTTGGACTTTTGACTTGTTTAGGATTGGGCCTCAGGCCCACTTGTTGTAGCCATACATTTATGGGCTTAAGGCCATGTTGGCTGCTCCTGGGCCATATTGGGCCTTAAAGGCATTGTAGTTGGGCTTGGATGCCTTTTTGGACCTGTATGGATTCAGGCCTTGGTGAGAGGGAGGCCCAATGAGGCAAGGATGAAGAATCCCTTTTTGCCTTAAGTCAAGAATGAGGGTGTGGACTTTCGGGTTGAAATATTTGCCCGATTTCTAATTAGGGTTTTGTACTTGTGCATTAGGGAGAGGATTTCGTGAGTTATCTACTGAATGTCATTTGATACCTTCAGTCTGAGGTAAGTTTCTTTCACTGTATTCGTGGATCGATGGCACCAATGTCGGACCATTAGTTTATGATGTAGTATGATGATTGACTTCGTGACAATTAGCAATTATGTCTATGTTTGCTTGTTGACTATGTGATTCTTTTTATGATGTTATATGGTAGTGGGAGGGGCTGAAATAGACCCGGTATCCAATTGAAATAGATCGAAGGGGATTGCAAGCACCCAGATATGTTTAATAGTATCCGGTTGAAATAGACCGAAGGGGATTGCAAACACTCATATATGTTTGGCTGTATGTTTGTATGGTATGTGGTATTTTAGGGGAATTCACTAAGTTTTGTACTTATGGCTTTCAGTTTATGTTTCAGGTACTTCTAGTTCGAAGGGGAAGGGTCCGGCCTGATCGCACCGCATCACCCTACCTTTTCCACATTTTGAGATT